TATCGTCTTACTCCTGGCGTTTGTCTGGTAGATGTCTCAGGCACCCTATGTGGGTGAAGTACTTGCTGTTCTTTAACTCGCGCTTGTAGGCTGATAGCCTGCATCATGCACATTGCTTCGACAAACCGCCTGTCCGGTGAGCTCCTGTGGATACTTGCAACCGTTCTTGTAGAAGTGGGTGCATACCTTGGCAGCAACCACAAGCGCTGGCGGATAGCGCTCAACCCACGCTGGCCTCAAAAACCTACACATGGAAGAAGCTTAATGAAGCAAAGCTGAGCTCAATGCCTCGGTCGTGAGGGTGAACCCGGGTGGCACAGGCAGCCCGATGGAAGCCATCTCCTTGGCTGCAAGTTTAAGGCGTGACCGGCTGGGGTCTTGAATCAAGCTTCGTCCATTACTTGCAAATTGCTGGGACAAGATTCTGCAAGGTTGGCACCCTTTCCACCGAGAAGATTTTTCATTTCCGAACGGCCATCCGCCTGCGCAACAGTGTGAAAGGTGAATCCTTGCAGGCCTGCAAACGCCATGCGAACCCAGATGCGGGCTTAACACAACTCCAACACACAAAGTCATGCGACATGCATGGATCCCAAAACATCCGAAGAAGAGATCAATCGACTTCAAGCCGTCAACTGACCGGAGCAAGTGCCACAGCGCCTTTCCGTCACCAAAGTTGTATACCCAGGTTGCCATGTCTACGGGACGTTACTGAATCCTCGCCGCAAGTGTACCTTGAACCTCAAATGCTGCAAGTGTACAAGCATGTAAGGCTTGAAGCCTGTTCAGCCAATCAGCTTAATTCAAGCCTTTACAGCTTCCAGGCTTTTGTTGTTGATCTGATCTGCTGGGGCTTCAAAGGTGAAAACTGGTCGGCTTATGCAACACTCTTTTCTTGACAACGAATGGCGACGGGCGATACAGTGTGGCTCCCGCTCCTCTCTCCCTCACATGCTTGGGGCCCTGGCCTGCCCCCGTAACCAGCTTTCGGGCACCATGCGAGTGTTCAGGAAGGAGCCTCGAATTCCACGGTCTGCAACAAGGAGCAAGGCGGGCCCTTGAGCTCGAAAGGCCAAAGGCTCGGGGAGGGACTGGAGAGGATTGGAAGCAGTGAAGACCTCGGCCACAAGCCCGATTGAGGTCAAGCTTTGCCCACCATTGTGTCGGTGCTGCTTCGAAAAGCCTGCGACCCTTCGACAAGCCCCTGATATCCACGGAAAGACTGCGAACAGTCTGGGGCTCAACGAATGACTGCTGGCTTCACGCGTTTCAATAGCATGCACTAAAAACAAAGCACATGTTTATGTTCATTTAAGGCGAACTTGTGCGAGAAGGGCTGTGATGAAACGAGGCTCGCACAGCTGCATGAAGCCAGCATCGCCTCGGCCAGGAGGGAGAAGGCCGCGACGGCTCGCGTTTTGCTTCAGGCAAGCCGCCGTTGCGGCAGAAGCTGTGCAACATCGTGGATTTGCCGGCATTCCTGGCCGAATGCTGAGCCCAGAGGTCAAAGACCAACCTCTCTTGACTGCCTGGGACCTTTTGCTTGGAATCAAACGCGTCTAATCGGCTGGTCCCCCAAGAGAACAAAGCTCCGGACCTGTGGCAGCGAGCCCGGCTTTCAGAGGTCTCATGCCATGCCATGGACGGGGACGTCTCCGGGGTCCGCGCGGCACAGCCGGCGCCAAGCCTCAGAGCAGCTGCCCGGAAGGAAAGCGAAGAGTCCAAAACGCGGTTTGTCGCTCTCAGTCTCGCGGCTCGGGCTGCGCAACTGCCGTCTCCAAGTCGATCTCTGGGACCTGCCATGACCACAGCAGCCACAGCGGCCAGGGGCCAGAGGTTGTGTTCTCCCTTCGCTCTCTGCCGCGCCTCCTCGTCATACAAGTCGGGGTGCTTGTATGCCTCGTGATCCACACCCACACAAACACACACCCCCACACACCCACACACACACGCATCCACGCATCCACGCATACGCATACATACACATACACATACACACACACACACATACACATAGACATACACATACACACACACACACACACACGCTTCAGTCTGAGAGCGGTCAAGCCTTCCCCAGAGGCTCGCGCACACCGCTGTTCCAAGCCGAAGCGTCCCCGCACGATGGGCGGGACCTTTGACAACATCTGACTCTCTGGAATTTGTTCGCCTTTCGGACTGCTTGGAGCCAGGCTCCATCGACGACGTCCATGGCTGCTCACGCCCATCCATTCCGTTATGGGAGAAACAACTCAGTGGACTTTGTTTGTTCAGTTCAATGTGTTGTCGGTCGTGCACGTAGGGCTGCTCTTGCAACTGCGACTACTGTGGCTATCGTAGCCATGTAGTCAACGCCGGCTGATGCTGGCTGGTTCTACTGCGGTTCTTCTCGCATCGGAGGTGTCGGTTAAGTACTCCTGGTCAGGTGACCCCTTTCTGACATCACGATGCTTTGAAGGCATCGTCTTTTCTTGAAGACAACGAATACGCATTTTGTCGGTTTCGGAAAGTCGTGTCTGAAAGCCGATGGCCTTCCCAGAATTCAGTGGCCCTGTAATCTTGCATCAACGTGATCTTGCACAAAACTGCACCAGAAAAGACCATCTTTCGAGCAGCCGCTTGAAGTTAGCGTCCGCATTGCAGCACGCACTCTAGGGCACTCGATCGCCCAAGCTGCGCCCGTTTTGATGGCAGCTAGTTGCTGAAAGCACGAAGTTGCTGAAAGCACGAGTGGCGTCTAGAGAGTGGCCTCGCTACTTTGATCTACCCAGCTTCTTCGAGACAGTCACTTCTGCGAATGTCGGCATTGTCCCGCTTTGGCGGGTGTAGCCTTCGAGCACCTCACTTTGGAAGCGCCCAGAAGATCTGCACTGGGTCCCGGTGGAGCAAACCTCCCCGGTCCCTCCAATCTGCTGGCCGCAATAGAAGAACTGCTGACAAAGCTGGCCGCCATGATCAACCATCGTGCCCGCATCGTTGAAGCACCAGAATCACAGGCGAAGCACTGGGCCTCTCGGAATGACAGATGCGTGTACTGATCTATAGACCATGTTTGTTCGGGGCTCGCCCGGCCCCTCAGGCGGCGCGCAGTATGAAGCGGAGTGCACAGCACAGGGCTCAGGCGCCTCCCCCCATCGCCCAGGGGCGTGGAGACACCGGCGAACCTCCGATGGGGCCTCTCCAAGTGAACCCCGCGGGATTTCGCGCAACTCACGCCATCAGCGTCTCCTTGCCTATAAGGCGAGCATGCTCGAAAGCAACAGCGTGTGGAAGCATCCGCTTCCAGTCCTGCACGACGCCGAGAGCTACAAGCCTTTTCAAGAAAGACCGCGAAGCATTGTGCCTATGTGGTACAGTAGTGCGCTGATACTGGGTTTGGCCTGGCTCCAGTTGTCCAGAATGATGTGGAGCCTGCCCGGTACCTGCGAGCAAACGGCTTAGCAGCTACACCATGGCGGGCCTCCACGGGGCACGGGGCTTGCTTCGCCCAGCGGGTCGCCGGCCTGGGGCTGCCACGCCTCGCAAAGACCGCGGCATCTGGTGCACTTTGGAATCCCAAATCCAGATGTCTGAAGGTCATCAACCTAGAGGGTTGCATTATCTCAGCATGCCTCAGCCTCCCTGATTCCCTGATCGCTCCTCATCGAGTGGGACCACTGCAATGTCTGGCGGGATTCGAAGGACATCGGCCTGACGCTCACCCATGCTCGGAACTCTTGCTGCGAGCCGGTTCCGACTTTGCAGTCTTCGTAGTGTGTCTTACATGTCTACACGTGTGGCCATCTATGGCCATGCATGGCCTTGCTTGTCGGTGTGCCCATTGTGCCAGGATTCCGTGAGTCATCCATTTCAGTAAACTTGGGAAATTTGGGTAGCCT